GGAATGTTAAAGATTTAACTTTAACTTTAAGGTATTTAATCCATTTTTAATTCTTTTTTTGTGCATAGTGTGAGGTATTGATACTGTTTCATTTTTCTTCATATGGCTATTCAGTTTTGCTTAGCACCATTTTTAAAAGAGATTGTTTTTCCCCCATTGAATGAACTTTGTAGAAGACCAGTTGCCCATGTTGTTGTTGTTAGATGCCATCCAGTCGGGTTCTCCATTCTATTTCATTGGTCTTATGTGTCTGTCTGTGAAGGAGTGCCTGTCTGTTTTGATTACCGTGGCTAGGAAGTAGTGGAGCCTCCTCCTTTGTTCTTCTTTAATATTTGGGTCCTCCTTATTTTCCATATAAATTTGGAGATTAGTTTTTCCTTGTCATTAAAGTATGTTGGGATATTGATCAAGACTGCTTTTGGTAATGTTAACGTTTTTAAATGAGAAGTGTTTCAGACCATGAACATGGAATGTTTTCCCATTTATGTAGATATGTTTTTTTTGTTTTGTTTTGTTTGGTTTTGTTTTTTACATCTCTGATTAGATTTAGTCCTGATTAGTTCTACAGTTGCACTGTAGAATAAATGGTTTGGTTTTCTTGATTTCTGTTTCAGTGTAGAGTAACACAACTATATTTTTGTGTGTTGAGCTTGTGCCTTGCCACTTTGCTTAATCTTTCTATTTATTAGTTTCAGCAGCTTTCTTTCATGTGGAGTCTCTGAGACTTTCTATGTATAGGACCATGTCATCTGTGAATGAAAATGATTTTACTTCTTCATTTCCAACTTGGATTCCTTTTATTTCCCTTTCTTGCTTTCTGACTGTCGTTGGACTTCCAGGACAATATTGAGTAGGAGTGGGGGTAAAAGGCATCCTTGTCTCATTGCTGTTCTCTAGGCGGTGGTGGTTATGTGCCATGGAGTCGGCGACCCTGTATAGGGTTTCTGAGGCTGTAAATCTTTATGGGAGCAGAAAGCCTCATTTTTCTCCTGCGGAACAGCTGGTAATTTTGAACTGCTGACCTTAAAGTTTGGAGCCTGATTCATAACCACAGCTGTACCCGAGAGAATGCCCTAAATCATTCTCCTTTGAGAATAATTGCCTGTTGGTTTTCTGTGTGTGCCCTTGATTATGTTGAAGAATTTCCCTTCTGTTCCTCTTTAAAGGAGTGTTTTTATCAAGAAAAGGTATTGGATTTTTCGTTTGTTAATTTGTAGTATGGTTTTGTCCAAAAAAAAATTTTTTTTTTTACCTTCTCAAAGAAGCAATTTCTAGTTATATTGACTCTTATTACTACTTTTCTGCTTTCTGATTCACTTAAAAAGTGGTGGTACTGTACAATAAGCACTGAGCTGGTAACCGCAAGGTTGGTGGTTCTAACCCACCAGCCACTCTGCATGAGATAGATGAGGCTGTCTGCTCCCACAAAGATGTCCACTGTTAGAAAGCACCCTAAGAGCAGTTTTCACTCTCTCCTCTCTCTTATAGGGTTGCTATGTTTAATTTTCTAATTTATTTTTTTCTGCTGTGATCTTAATTCCTTTCTTCTGGTGACTTTTGGCATTTTTTGCTGGTCCTTTTTTGTTTGTTCAAGTTGTAGGGTGAAACTGTTGATTTTGGCTCTTTCTTTTTGAGGTATGTATTTATTGCTCTGTATAATAATGAGCACTGCCTTTGTTGTTTGCCAAAGATTTAGGTATATTGTGTTTTCATTCTGATTTGATTCTAGGAATTTTTTAATATATTTTTTAAAATCTCTTTTGTTACCCTGTAGTTTTTAAGTAAGGTATCAGTAAATTTCTGTGTATTTAATGTTTTTACTTTTTCTCTCATTGTTGGTTTCTAGTTTTATAACATGATCAGAGATGAAGTCACAGTTTCTCATCTTATTAAATAGGTATTTTTTTAAGTTTTTATTGTGAATTGAGTGATAGTTTACATGGGAAAGCATTGGTTTTACACTCGTTTCATTGCAATGATTACTGTCCCTTCTCTGCATCATCATTTAACAGTATTTGCTTCTGTTTCCTCTGAGTTTATTTTGGGGGTGGGGTGGGAGATGTACAGGAAAACACTCAGTAGTATATAATAATTTGAACAAATAAAGGACACATTCTGCAAGCCAGCCTCCTGGCCACCAGCACACAGCCTTTGTCTTTCCATGAGTCTACAGTCCTCAGCTGCTCTGTCTTTCCATGTCATCCTCTCTAGTATCAATGCTTCTCTGGATAGTGACCATAATCCCTTGATGGTCCTCAGTCCTCTGTTCATGGATTGTAAGATTATTCACCCTTTTTGTTACAAAACTTCTTCTACCTGTAAATTGTGACAGTCACCATTAGTTGTGATAACAATTACTCACTATTGAATAATAAGTATCTTATCCCCATCTTCTTTCACCAGACCCATTTAGACAAGGTGAAAATTATTCAGTGGGGATTCTGCCTTCCCCTGCACACTCTGAAACTAAACTTCCTCTTGAAAACTTGTAAGGCAGTCACTTTGTGCCTTTATAACCCCCTCTCCCCCATTTTAGTAGCTTATGCCTAAGTTGCCCATCCCTGTCAACCATCGAGCAGATAGGATTGATCCTTGGTGTGAAGACTCCTTCCTTCTTAGTTGGTATTTTGAGCTACTAGATCCATAATAAGTATAGGTCAAGTTCATCAAATTATAGCAATTTGCACTTGTTTCCTTTATCAAAATTTGTTTTTATCTTCCCCTAGTAGAGTTCTGATCATTAAGTCCTTGAAGCTAGGTCAAATGGGTACTATCTACAAGTTTGGACATTCTTGTGCATCTCCCCTCACTTCATATCAGCTGGATGCTTTACTCTCAGCTCTAGCCTTCCTTGGCTATGTCCATGGGCTCAGGAGTCCCCAGGTCTCACCATACTTTGGACCAACCAGTCTGTCCCCACCGGTTTTAAAAGAACTTTTATACTTTCAAGTACAAAATGATGTTCTAGGCTCATCTTAAATTTTTCCTGACACAGCTTTGGAATCAGCCATTTCTTCAAGGTACCCTGGTATTTTTAGTGGAAAATATTATTTAGAAACCACATTCTAGGTATTAGCTGTACCTGTTGCTGCCAGGGAATATATGGCTTTAAAATAAAAGACAAAGTCTAAGTTAAAATGTAATTCCTAAATATTGTGGGAACCTAAGTGATAAACAAAAAACAGTGCCATAAACCACAAATAATGAAAGAGGACTGAGGATGCTAACTAGAAATTCTTGCTCAGCCACTTTCTAGATAGGACATTTTGGGGAAATTACTTAACCTCTTTGAAGTTATGTGCACTTGAATGTATTGTCTATGATCGTCACAAAAACTGTAAGATGTTATTCCCAGACTGTGAATCATTATATATTGCCAATTTTTGTGAGCATTAAATATATAAGCTTATCAGTATGCAGCAAGTACTTACTACGTGGTATTTTAAGAGCCACTGGGTGGAGCAAATGCTTAAGTTCCTGACTACTAATTGAATGGTTGGTGGTTCGAACCCATCTGAAGGTGCCTCACAAGATAGGTCTTGTGATCTGCTTCCACAGTGACCCAGCCCTGAAATTCCTATGGGGAACAGTAGTGCTCTCCACACATGGAATTGCTGTGAGTCCGAATCGATGCAACGGCAATGAGCTGTCACAACAATATGATTGTTTTTTAATAAATTAGTAATTTCCAGGCAATTTATATATATCGGTCTATAGACTTTTACTGAAAGCTTACTTAAACTGGTTTTACTAAAAATTTTAACAAGTTGAATCATCTGGTTTCTCAAAATGCAGAAGATTTGAAAACACATATACAGAATCCTAAGGAAAGATATAAAAGATTAATGGATTTAGACAATAAAGAAACAATGTGGAATTTGAAGCTGACAAGTAGGGGCAGACGAGGGGAAGGGAGGACGAAAACCTTACCAAGGTGTAAGAAACTAGACAATTTTGAGGCATTTATTTAAAAACTTTCATACTTTAGTGAACACTGAAGGTACGAATGCATTGCAGGGCAAAATCTTCAGGAAATTTTCAAGTTATTTGGCATGTACTCATCAAAAGGTGAAAATGGGAGTATATATTCATTTTTATTTTTTAAATACACAGGCTTGAAATTAATGTACTTAGGGTAAATGGTGTGGCACTGTGGGCTAATGCGTCAGATTGCAATGTCGTTTGAACTGTAAGGTCGGTGGTTCAAGCTCACCAGCTGCTCCTTGGAAACCCTATACAGGGTCGCTATGGGTCGGAATCGACTTGATGGCACTTAACGACAAGGGTAAATGAACTTCAGTTATATGTGTTTAAATGAGGTATCTTTATAGCCTGTTAGAAAAGTTACATTGTCTCACATCTGCCATTAAAACGAGAAGGTCAATCTTAAGAAGGAAACTTTGGCACAGTAAATAGTTGATGGTGGCATAATTAGGCTTTTCTGTCCTAGTAAGTTGAGGACAAGAGAGCCTAAGTCCAGATAGTATCTAGTGACATGACGTCAGAGTTACTCTGGATAGATAGGTCAGGACTCTCCTGTAGGGCTACAAAAGTACCCATCTGCTCAGTTCCGTAACAACAAAGAGGCAGCAACTATTCCAAAGTAATTCAGATTAGAAATTTTGTTGTATGTGTTGAGTTTACATGACCCTAACTATATCAGTGGAGTCCTGGTGTGGCACTGTGGGCTAATGCATCAGACTGCAAAATCGTTTGAACTGCAAGGGCGGTGATTCAAGCTCACCAGCTGCTCCTTGGAAACCCTATACAGGGTCACTATGGGTCGGAATCGACTCAACTGCACTTAACAACAACAACAACGGTATCAGTGGCGCTTTAGAATAATGCATTGGACTGCAAGGTCAGCGGTTCAAACTCACCAGCGTCACCTCAGAAATCCTGTACAGGGTTGCTGAGTCAGAGCCGACTCAACAGCAATTTAACAACTGTATCAGCAATGTTTTATGTGAGGATCATGATGAAGTTATTTTAACTTTTAGTACGGAAGATGAGAAGGAGGAGGAAAGTAGTGAAGAGGAAGATGAAGATAAGCGGCGTCTCAATGATGAATTATTAGGAAAAGTTGTAAGTGTGATATCTACATCTGAGAAGACTGAATGGTATCCTGCCTTGGTATGTAAGATTTCTTTACACAGTTAATCACCTACTTAAAATGAGTTATGTGACAGGGATTTAAAAATAAAAGTTTTGAAAGTTGAACATAAATTGGCCTTTTAATTCTCTATTCCTTTATCATTTTACACCTGTTCTGTAGCAGCTTTCATTAGATTCTTGAATTCTAAATTGAGACTAATTTTCTATGAATAACTTTTATAGAGAAATCTTTTTAAAATAATGATTTAATCATGGTAGTCCCAATCTCAAAAAACTTTTAACTGATTGCCTGATGAATCAATCCTACATAGTCCAGATGAATATTTGAGGCCATCTTAAGCTCTTAAATTGTTTTCTTATTTTCAGAGTAATCTCTCTCCTTTTCTCAGGTTAGCTCCCATTCCTCCAGACCTGTACCTCTGCCTTCAGTGAATTGGTTGTTATTTACTGACGATCTGAAATGAGTTCACTTTTGTATTTGATCCTTACAAGTGTGAGACATAGAACACAATGCCCTCAAGAAGCTTTCTGTATGCATCTAAGAGATTATATTGTTATTAAAGAGTATATTGTTGCTAAGTGCCATCAAGTCAGTGCTGACTCAAAGCAACTCTGTATAGGATTTCCGAGGAGCAACTGGTGGGTTTGAACTGTTGACCTTGTGTTTCACAGTCCAGTGCTGATCCTACAGTGCCAGATAAAAAACTTTTATATGTGTGCCTGTTCTCAAATAGGACAGTATTTGGGGATAGTAAGGTATTCCTAGATTGGAAAGAATGCTTTTTAAAATACTGCAGCTTCTGTGGGTTGCTAGTAAAAGCTAATCTTTAGTTACATTGAAGAAGAATAAGAAGAAAGGATAGACAAGAGAATTACTTTATGAGAAGAATCAGTAATACCTGGTAGTTAATATCTGACTGCCCTCCCTCCTCATCCTCTTCCCATATTTTTTCCCTCAGGTCCAACTCTGGGCTACCCTAACATAAGTACACCTTCTCTCAGTTTTTATACCACTTTTACCTTTTAAAATAATTTTGGCACACATGCAAAAATTAAGTGTCCCCAGTTATTTTATAGGCCTTTAAAAAAACAGACACTATTTTAGGTTTCTATGTACATGTAAATACATTGCTCAATTATTATGTAATAGATTTATTTTTCATTCTGAAAAGTCTCTGAGCCTCTTCAATTGTACAGGCAGATAAGCAAGTAGGTTTGGAGCCTAAATATTTACGTTATAGTTTACCAAGAGATTATTTTACAAATACCTGTGTATACTCACCCGATTTGACATTTTCCAAGTAATGTTGAAGTAAGACATGCGTCTTACATTGGTTATTTTATAATGTAAGATGGTAATCAATGGAACTATATATGGTTCAAGCTCACCATTTGCGCCTCAGAAATTCTATATAGGGTTGCTATGGGTCGGAACCTACTCATAAAACAATAACCACAGCATACTATAAAGTAGCGTGTGTTCAGTATGTAGTCTTTTGGGCCAGAGACTATTTTCAAATAGATATTTTCGAATTCTCCTTTGTCTAGTAGTATGACTGAAGTCCTGGTGTGGCGCTGTATGATCAGCACTAGACTGCTAACCACAAGGTTGGCATTTCAAACCCACCACCTGCTCCTCGGAAACCCTATACTCATGACACTTAGCAACAAGTTGTGTCACTGAACTTATTTTCCATTGTATCTGAGTGTCTTTTTGTGCTTGTCCCTACAATACACTGTTAACTTTTTGACGGCTGAGACAACTATATGATTACCTAATAGTTCATCACCTACCAAAGAAAGACATTTACTTCCATCTGGTGTTAAAACTACTGATATAACTGCCAAGAATATATACTTATCTGGATATGCACTGTCTAATATAATAACAGGAAAGCATGGTGACTCCATATGATAAGCGATGCACTGTGAACCACAAGGTCCACAGTTCAAGCCCACCGACCACCCTACAGGAAAAAGATGAGGCCTTCCGCTCCCACAAAGATTTACAGTCTTGGAAAAACCTGTGCAGGTTCTCTATGAACTGATTCAGCTGTACTTAGCAACAAGAATAAAATAACTATGAGTCACAAGTGGCTATTTAAATTCAAAAGTAACTTTGTTATGTTAAATAGAACTTCAAACTTCATTTCTCAGTGGCTCATGGCCACTGTATTGGACAATGCAAATGCAGAATATTTCCACCATCACATACAGTTCTGTGGACTGTGCTGATCTAGATTGTTGCAGAGGGGCTAATGTTAAGAGTGATGATGAGCTGGTGCATTGCAGCAGTTTGTTAGACTCATTTTTGTTAAATAATGACGCTCTGTATAGAATATACAGAAATTAGTTATTTATAAAGATGTTGCTTAAAAGGTCTTTGTTCAGGCTTTGTCTACTTTATTTTAATTATTAAAAGTTGTACTTGCCCTAGTGTAGAAGAAACTTAGGTCTTTATTTTAAAGAAATAACCAAACTTCCAAATAGAACTATGACTCAAGTTTATTTCTTTAAATTATAATATTCACGTTTTCATCACAGATACATTTTTTTCTTTGGGCCAGTGTATGGCTTCAGAATGAATCTGGATTTTTTTTTAAAGTGGAAATCACGTTGTAACTTGTATTTCACTAATCATTTTATAGTATAGCATCTGTGAATAATATATCAAATATCAATATGTTAAAGGGTATAAGGAGACAGTCTTTGCTAAGTAACTCACTGATAATGAAAACGTTCCATGTAAATTATAATCCATTTGCAAAGTTAGAGGTTCTAAAGTTGTACTTTTTAAAAACTATATTCTTTTTTCTGAGCAAGGGGAAAAGGAATCAATTCATTCTTCTTTTGTACTAGGTAATATCTCCCAGCTGCAATGATGACGTCACAGTGAAAAAAGACCAGTGTTTAGTTCGATCATTTACTGATTCCAAATTGTGAGTAATGGACTCTTACCAGTATAACATGAGAAGGGGAAAAAATAGAATCAGTGTGACACACCCCTACCACTTTATTTTTTTAAATCTAATAATTTCATGAACTAAGTTGAGATTATCTTAAAAGTTTTCACATTTTACAATATGAATTCTTTTTTACTGTTAAATTTCATGTAAAAAGTGAACTCTGAAATGTTCTTTTTTTGTAAAGCGTGGAATTGATTTTTTGGGTATTGTTTTATATTGTGAACCAGGGAGCTTAATTGTTAATAGAATTCCTGGTACTAAAATAATTGCTGTAACTTTTTCTTATTTAAATATGAGATCCTTAGAAAGTTTTACCTAGCTTTATTTTTGCTTTGTTCCCAAAAGAAATAGCAAAATTAAATACATTCACATGCATATATAGAGAGAGGGAGAGAGACCAAGTTGTAATTTTCTGTAAAATAAAATTAAAAGTTTAATATGTCATTTGAAATGGTTGGTTGTTGTTTGATGACATCAAATCGATTCTGACTCAAAATGACCTCATGTGACGGGAGAACTTCCTCATAGGGTTTTCTTGGCTGTCCTGATGTAGTGCCATAGGATAAGCCCTCAACCTCAAGGTCGATCTGAACTGCAAGGTCAACAGTTCAAACTCACCAGCCACTCCTTGGAAACCCGATACAGGATCACTGTGTAACTGACTAGGTGGCACTTAACAACAGCGTTTAGAGGAGTCCTGGTGTGGCACTGTAGAATAAACCCTGGATTGTAAACTGCAAGGTTGGCCATCAGCTCCCAGGAAAGCCAAGAAAGGGTCCCTATGAGTCTGAATCAACTGGACAGCAGGCACTTAATCACTGTTTGTAGAAGCACGTCAGCAGGCCTGCTCCTGTGAAGTGGCCTGGTGGATTTAAACCACCAACTTTTTGTTTAGCATTTAAGCACTTAACCTTTGTTCCACCAGGACTTCTTATAGTGATATAGATCTTTTAATATTCTATTCAGTTTTACTATAGTAAAATATACATTAAAGTAAATTAAACATAAAAATAGACATTCTTCCCTGTAAGTATTGAAAACATCACATTGCTGTAAATTAACTTCATATAGTCTATAGTCTGTAGCAGGGTTGTATAGATTGAAATATTGTAAATGTGAGCGTTTCAAAACTGTACTTCTGAGGATGTGGAGTTTTAGAATTAAGGTATTAGCGTCTCTTAATTAATATCACTTGCCCTTATTAAGGATTAGGGCATACATAGTCTTAAAAAAAAAAAAAAAATAGGCAAAGTAATTTGGATTTTGAGGATTATGCTTTTCTTTGTATTAACATGGATTTTTAAGCAATCATTTTTATTTAATCAATACTTCTCCTCCCCCTCCCCTTTATTCTTTATTCTTCTCTATAAATAGTTACTCTATAGCAAGAAAGGACATCAAAGAAGTAGACATTCTCAATCTACCTGAATCTGAGCTCTCTGCAAAACCAGGTGAAATAACAGTGAATCAATCTGTAATTTCGTGATGTGGTTTTATGTGGAAGCAAGAATAAATAAGCTCTGGTGCTATTTTAAGTGTTTAGAGCTGATATCTGCTCTTAGTGGATGACCATTTTTTAATGTTTAGATGCAAGGTTTAAAGTATCAGTTTTAGAAAAGTTTAATTTTTCACATTTTAACATTAAGATCATTAGAAGTATTCCCTAGAGTAGTAACAAACATTTATATAATTTATGAAATATGCTCAAGGTTGCTTGATCATTTTATCTTTCAAACAACTCTTTGAGATAGGTAATGTTGTCATCAAACATTCAGAGAGATGATAAATCCTGGGTGGGCTGGGTATGTGGTTAAGTGACAGCTGAATTTGAATCCAGCTCTTCTGACTCTGGCTGTCTTGAGTGCTCTGTTACCCTGTGCTGTCAATTTCATAACAACTGCTGAAGTACTGTTTCATTTGTAGGGCTTCAGAAAGCAAGCATCTTCATAAAAACACGAGTTGTTCCTGACAATTGGAAAATGGATATAAGTGAAATCCTTGAGTCGTCCAGTAGTGATGATGAAGATGGCCCAGCTGAAGAAAATGATGAAGAGAAGGAAAAAGAAGCCAAAAAAGAAGAAGAAGAAGTGGTAAGTGAAATCTGTTTCTTCTCCTTAGATTATTATTTGTTTTTTCTAGTTTAAGCTTATTGGAGAGAGGGGGGCTTTTTTTTTTTTTTGTCTTTCAGAAGACGCTTTTTGGCCTTCAGTTTAGATGACAAGTCATAGCTAATTCTAAGTGGGTGGTGGTGGTTATGGGATTTTGAGGCTGTAAATCTTTACAGGAGCAGAAGGCCTCATCTTTATCCCACAGAACAGCTGGTAGTTTCGAACTGTTGACCTTGAGGCTCACAGCCCAATTCGTAACCACTATGCTACCAGAGCTCCTTAATTCTAAGCGGACAAGAGGTTATAAAGAAGTACTTTTTTGGTAACCACCAATAAAATGCATGTTTTTTGGTTTTGTTTTTGAGCTTTTTTTCTAGACAACCACAGAGAAAAGAAATGTTACTTTTAGGTTTATTCTTTTTGTGTTAACTTACTTAAACTATTACCATGTAAAGTAAATGTTATCCCACTTTAAAGATGAGGGGGAAAACTCAGAAAGGTTGAGTAACTTTCCCAATGTGGCACAACTAAATGTAGGATTTGAACTCAGATCTAACCTGCTTTAACTTAAAAACCTCATCTCTGAGCTATTTTTATACTATCTCAAGGATACTAGGGATAAGAAAAATCCCACATACTCCAAAGACTATTTTTTGATTATTCATAGAAAATATTCAGATAGTAGTTTTTAAATGCTAATGTTTGTTTGTAATATTTTATTTAAAAATATGTGATGTACGTACCATTTAATTGCTTATGTAAATATTATTGTCTATTTATTCTGCAGTGTTTTGTCAAATGGGATAAATTGTCCAGTATATTTTTGTTGTTATAGGGTAAAGGGGATTAGTGGCAAGACAAAGAGAATGAGTTTACTGAAAAAGAGGGCCCATTAAGCATGAAAAATATTTGCCTGCAAGAGTATGGGAAGCTTGTTTCTGATTTACTTATACAACTAGATATTTATAAAATGAGTGTACTGGTATGTGATGAAGGGCATAAGATATTTCTTTGCAGTATTTGGTTTTTGCACTCAGAAATCAGAATGGCGGTTCATACTTACAGGCTGCCTACAGAGTTGCCATAGTAACGTGCTGTTGGTTTTAAGTGAGCATGCTCGGAAAGACAGGAAGGTTTAACAGAGGCTTGGCAGGTTGCCAATGGAGGTTTGCCAGATGCTTTGAAATGGGCTGTCTTTCTTTTCCTTTCATGTAATGTCTGATTTTTATGTGGAAGAGAATGTAAGTAGTGTTGTATAACCCTGCGGATGCTATGCCCTAAGAGGGAAAGCAGATATTTGCAAATCAGACTGAAAAATGTCCAGACATTGTACTGATTAAGTAGAAGGGGAATCAAACCATTTTGCATTGGCAAGAAAATGCAGCACATAGGTAAGATTTTTTTTGTGGGGTTATATTTAATTACAATTTTGACTGCCAAAAATGGGGTTAAATAAGAATTTCAGGTATTGATGATGTGGTTGTTGTGATAGGACTCATAACCAAGCGGGATTGTTTCTTGTAAAAAAGACAGTAGGAATCTATTTTTAGAAAATCAGAGGAAGAAGGCGATTTTCTTCTGAAAAAGAAGATAGACTTTGAAATGAAATTGATAATGAAACAGTAGGGTCAAATTCAGGATTTAAAGTGTGAATACCCAATGTGACTTTGTATCTTATCTGTATTTATTTATAGATTTTATGTTTTCAGGCCACATTTTCAGGGTGTGAACTGTTGCAGTCTGTGGTTTTTCCTTTTGTTTTTTTAATTAATACTAGTTAGCATCCAGTAATAATACCAAATACTAAAAAAAGATTAGTCTCTTTATTTTTGCTAATACTTTGAGTTGGGTCTCTTTCAGAATGTATTTTCCCTACACCCCCCCAAATAAAAACAGCCCCTGAAATTTTAAACAAAGAGGGTAAAAAAAGCTTTGTAGTAAGATTGAAGAGGAGGCTATCAAATCTAAGTAAATAGTTCTCTTATAAATATTAATTTCATAAACATTATAATGTTCAATTCAAGCTGAATAAACATTAGTAAAAAAGATTGAATAGCTGTATTACCTAGTATTTGCAGAAATAACTAAGGACATTTTTAAATGTAAGGACCCTTTTAAGGAAATTATCTTAAAATATATTACTGAAATTATGAACCTATGAAAATTAAGTCAACCAGGATGCTTTTCATATCCTGAAAAAATAACAGCAAAATTACAAAAGTGAGGCACTGCTTTACATGACTGTTTTACATTGTTTTTCAGATGATCAGTTTCATTGCATATACTTTATTTAATTACTGGATAAAAAGTAATTCCTCTTTTTCTTCTGGCCAAACAGGTAGATTTTCTTGAGAGGGATTTTGGTTGCTGTAGCTGCATTTTTTTGCTCTTAGATTTAAGATTCAGTTGCTGAATCATTCTAACTTGTCTTGAACACTAATTTTCTTTTAAATTTAATCCATTGTTAAGCTGAAAAGCTCTTTAACATACATATAGAGAGAGAAAAAATGAGAGAGAGGGGGAGAGAAAAGGGAAGGGGGAACTAGGTATGGTGACAGATGAATAAAAATTTGGTGAGCCAGGGCCTACCTGGCTTAGTCATGATAGGCCTTTACCTCATAAGTGAGGCTAAACTGTTGTATTATATTACAAATTATCATACTCTTCCTGAAAAGTAGTGATGCATTTTATGAAGATTTAATGCAGGCTACAATGATCAAAAAGATTTTACAGCATTCTATAAAACATGGTAACGATACTTTAGTCTGTCATTTATAGTGTCGGAAGAAATTCTATGCAGTAGAATCATACAAGTGTTAGATATTTCTGCAGTGTTTATGGGCTGTGGACGTTGTGTTTATACTAATGTTTTAAGTGCCCTACCATAGTCTTGATAAAGAGGTTTTCAGATTCAGTGGTTTTACCATGGAGGAGCATCTTTTTATTTAATATTATTTAGAATTACTAGGCATTAGTAGTTCAGGATTTGAATACAAGAAGTATACCCTCATGCTGTTACTGAGTAGGAAAAGGCATGAGATCTGAGTTGGAAGTAGGTCCTATCTAAATTGATGAATTTAAGTTTGAACTGATAGTTAATTGTATTGAAAAAAGCCCTGGACAATATATTTGTGGGAATCTCTCAAAAGTCTTTTGTTAATAGCAATTTGTTTTGAGCTTTGAGATTGACTAGAAAGCCCATGTAAACATAAATAATGTCACTTGTCACTAACTCCTGACATGTTATAGTCACTTTTGGGTGACTATAGGGGAGAGCGGTTTATAAATAAATGTATGGTTGTTTAAAAGACCGATTTCAGGGGGAACTTCACTAGTATAGACTTTTTTCTTTTTTTTAATTCTTCATGGAAACAAATTTTTTGATACTGAATTCAACTATTATATGTACCTCCTAATTTAGGTCTTTTGAAAAGTGTTTGATAGCAATCATTCACGATAACCTTGGGAACAAATATGTAGTATATAATGTTTACACATAATAAATGCTTGATAATTCAGAAACGTGTGCTAAATTGGTAAATTTTAAAGAATAATTTTAGTGTAATCTTAATATTAGGTTTATCTGATTAACTGTCAACCAACTGTTTTTAAGTAGATTCTATAAAGTCAGCTTTCAGTGACTAATTAAAACTAGCTTGCATTAAAATAAACTCACTTGCTAAAGTCTTCAAGTTTAGCCTACTGAACAAGTGAACACAACACTTCTAATCTGAAAGTATTTTATAATTGTGTTAGTTGACTGATATTAAGAACTTGGCATTTGCTAGCATCCTAACCGCATCTTACACTTTTTCAAACAGGAAAAATAATTCCTAATCTTAGTTAACTCTGACAGAATTCAAGAGACATGTAATTATTTTAGACAACTTGCTAAACTGTTTTCTAGAAATTATAAACAGTGTCTTACCACGTAATGAATGTATCATGACATTTTGTATTAGCCCCAAGTTTGACACTACTGGTCAACTCCCAGTTTCTATAATCAAATCTTTTTCTTCTCCATTAAATTAACAACCCTACCCCCACTGAACTCTTAACTTGCAAAGAATAGGGACTTCAGATGGGAGGGAACATATTCTAAATAAACTCCATCTGCTGGTGCTCCTCCCATCAAGATTCATTTGATACTCTGTTTTTCTCCTCTGTAAAACCAAGCCCTCAATTTGTGCTGTGGATTTTACTGCTTTCTGCCTTTCAGAAACTCTTAGATTCT